GAGTCAAAGTTACTTCTATGGCCCAGAATTACAAATTGACAATACCTCTGTTAGAGCCACAGTTTAGATTAAGAAAAAAACTCAAATGGGAAAACATTTTCATTCACATTCTGACCAGATCTGAACAATGTGCAATTTGCAACACACACATAAAATATAGAGTATGTGGTCAGATGAGCAATGTGGACATTTTTTTTTATATATAAAATGATATCTTTTAGAACCGAATGAGCACTAGGTGATTTATTTCAGAGCCCAGAAATTATGGAACGTTTAGTAAGTATGACATACGAACTTTGCAGTTTTGTTTTGTTTTGTTTTCCAACAATATATTGCAGACAGATGTCCAACTAGTGATCTACAAAGAAACACGGAGCAGCAACACGATGAGCACTTGCTGTTTTGCATGACATGAGTGAATTGGATATTTAACAATTCTCTACAGAAACTAGCACAGGAATCAGCAGAACATAAGCATGTTTGATCCTCTGTACTTGATCGTCCACCTGAGTTACAGCGCAGCTGAATCCTTACCGTCCTCTCAGGTTGCTGTCTGTGAAATAAACATCAGAGATAAATTTGTCGGCTCTCTCGAGGAGAGTGCGCCTGTTCTTCAGCACAGGCTGGTGATACATGATACAAATAGCATAAAAACACATGCAAGTTTGCACAACAGCGAGTGCAAACGATTGAAGATACTGTAGTCAAAAGCTTGATACAAGACCCGGAAGTAAACCATTTTTGTGACCGCGCTTACGGCAACCGGCCGCTAGATGGCAGCACCGTTCAATGACTGGTAACATTGTTAAATGCTTTCATACTGGAAGTGACAGGAACTGAACCCCAAGTTGCTCCTGGTGGTCAGGCCAGCTCCCTGCACGGCAGCTCTGCCATGTGTGTGAATGGGTAGATGGGTGATTCTGTAAAACACTTTGTATGTTCTACCATACCAGGTATGGTAGAAAAGTGCTATATAAGTGCAGACCATTTACCATTTTATTTGTTTGTTTGTTTGGGTATTTAAGGTCAAAACAGGTCATTGTTGATAGCATGATCTACTAGATTTTTCCATCACTGAAAGTTGCAAAGCATAATGAAAAAAACATGCAATGAAAAATTTAATAACCAATATTTTATTTTTATGAACACCGGTTATTCATTTTACACTTGCACACAAAGCAGCAGTTAAAAAAACACAATGACACAAAAAATACAACACAACAGTTTACCACTTATTTTTTATGTGGCAATGAGATATGAGGCCACAAGGAGCAAAGTATGCACAGAAAAAGGTGCTGGAGGATGGGTAAAACACTCACCTTGTACTTCTTTTTACCATTTAATAACTTTCATTTTATCAGGTAGCCTGTTTAATCACTCATAAGTAGCTAATGTTTGGGCTTACTGTACCATTGTCAACTTCTATGCCATAAGCATACAAATGTAGGGTACACTAAAAATGAACCAAGAAACACCTAAAAAGATTCAAAACTAATTTATAGATATAATGAAGGCAAAAGAGATAATGCAGTGGCAGAGGGAAACCCTGTGAGGATGATGTGGTGATATAATAACTTTCCAGAAAACTGAACAGTCTAAATGAGAGGCTCTCTGGCGCGTAGGGGAGTTAGTCTTGTGATCGGAACAGTTGACACGGGTTAGGGGTCAGCCCACATGCAGCCTGAAAACACAGAAGCCTTTTTCTCCTCAGCATTATTCACAGGGTAGGAGCTGTGTGTTTCTGTCTCTATGGAGCTAAGCGCCCTTTTATTATAAAATCCATAAAGCCACTCTAAGTACAGGGTTGGTGGAAGTGGGGCAGAGCAGAGCCCATCCCTCTCAGGCCGCCCTACCATCAGGGGTGTCTGACAACTCCTGTCCCCCTGTTGTTTGGCCTGTGGTTGGGTTTTCCACCAGATCGGGACAGCCTGAGAGAACGGGAGCTATGGTCAAACTTGACCTGGGATTCTCATCAGTTCAGTTCTGGCCTTACTGTGTTTGCTTGGAAGGGTCTGTGTGGAGCTCCCCTTACAAAACTCAGTGCATGTCAAATAAAAAAAAGGAGGACAACTGTTCCTTTTGCTGTAAAAACGTATTCATACAACATTAAAGACCCCTTTAAACATCTAACACAGAGGCTTAGTATGTTGTGCCTGCCACAGCACAGCAAAATAAGACAGGCTGCAGCTTGAGAACAACCACAACAACAAAAAAGAGTGCTTCCCAAAACCCCAGAGCTGCGTGCTCTTTTTCATTATACGTGGATCCTGGACATTGAGTTATACTCTTGAGCTGTACTCGTCTCTCTCTTCAATTTTGTATCCCACACCTTTGCTTTTGTCCTGTTCAGTGGCAGATCTAACAAACAAAAGAACCATAGGTCAGTCAGAATGTAGTTGTATCTGTAAATACATAAAATTTGGAGTCTTATTTGACGTGCTCTTCCTTCAGTTCTAGGTTCCTTTTATGTCCATTAAAGTTTCTTGCTGAGGTTTGCTTTGCCATCAAGATAATGATATTTGAGCAAAATGTTGAAGTGATGTAGGTGATTAATTTTTTCATTTTTTCCACTTCAAATGTTGATTTCCTTTGTACACGAGATTACAGAGAAGTGCTGTTACTGATATTTTGCTGTAAGGGATTACTTTAGAAGCAGGGAGGAAGAGATGACAGGAAGACCATCTGAAGAAAGACAAGTGACGCTGGACACTGACAAGCTGCAACCAGCCTGTACACATTTTATCTTCTATTGTTTCTGTTCTACAGAGCTTTTTGTGAAAGCAGGACACATTCAGTGGCATTAACTTACAGAAATAAATACCCACCATACTCTGGTGCATAAACATATTTAACTAATGACTTAATAAGTGTGAGATTTGGCCATTTCATCCTATAAACCATCCAACTGACCAAACATCACAGTCTGGCTCACAGAGTATGACTTCAACAAGCAAAACTGTGGCCTTGTTTTGTTGATTTTGCCCTTTGCTTACCTTTTTTTCCTTACTAGACAGCACATTAAAGAGACAACGAGAACAAGTCCCACTGTGGAGACCACGAGTAAGGGAACCAGTAAACCTGCAGAGCATGGACCAACAAAATGATTCTGTTAAAACTGCGGTCTTGCAGTGTTTTTTCTCTGTTTTCATTTCATGTATGTGAGGTTGCTTGTGTGTATACACTATAGTTTAAAAATGTAAGGGGGAATAAATTATTGTAAATTAAAACATTCTCTTGTTCAGGCATAGTTTTAACGTAAACAGTATTTGTTATGTTGTTACGTTGCTACAGTACCAGTGCTGTACCGTGTGTTACTTTACACAATATGCACTGTACATTCATTCTAATAAGGGTTTTGTTTGTTAATTGATCAACTTTGAAGTTAAAGCCACGATTTTATTAACTAATAAACTGAATTAACTGCAGACAGGAAAAAGGGTCATTTCAATTTTTATGTTACAAGAGAAAACCTGGTGTTTGTGACCGACATGTAGAGATGAAGCTGAGGACAATATATGTGAAAAAAGGAAAGAGTATATGTAGAAAATGTACAAAAGTGACATACCAGTGATCATCCAAGATAGATCAGCTGAGTAGCAAAGAAAAAAGAGAAAAGAAGGTAACAATGAAATTCATATGGGAACGAACACTTCAAATGTGGTCCAACTGAAAGAAAAATTGTTAAACAAACATGAGGGAAATGAAATCATAACTTCAAAGTCTGTCATCTGAGAAACAAGCCCTTTTGTATAGGTATAGGTCATATTTGTAGGTACATATATCTGATAAAATCCCTATTGTATAGATATATGAAATAAACCCTTAAACTATAAAAGTTTTTTCTTAGTGTTTTCCAGCATTTTGATTATATACATACTGTAGAGTACATCTCAACTGCCAAAAACATTACTTGACTGCTGAAATTCCAGTAGTTGAGCTCTTGTTCAAAATCGCTTCAGTTCCAACAAGATCCTGGAGCTGGACAGTATAAGTACAGTTTCCACTGGATACAAAAGACCAAAGCTCAGAAGAGCCTCAGTGGTCTAAAATATTCTCAAACCTGGTTATGACACGGGCAATTTCTTTTCTTCTTATCTCTTCTTCTAAAAACTGCAGCTCAAATCCTTACACACGTTTGCAAACATAAGTAGAAATATAAAAGTATAAAAGTTAAATATCACAGCAGGTCTCTCTATCCATACTGGTTCCCTATGTTTTGCCCAAGGTGTGTTGGAAAGTTCCTGTGACACTGCAAAGGATTAAGCTGACAGAGAAAATACACTTTATGTAATACCAGTTTTGTAAGTTCAGAGAAAAAGGGAAAATGCACTAAGGAAGTACATAATTCATATATAAAGCTTTTATTGAAAATCCTTCCTTGTGTTTGTTTAAATGCTGTAAATAGTAAATTGAAGGGAAGTACAAACAACAAGAGAAGCTCTTGCAAATTCTTTTGCTTAAGCTGCATCTCTACATTGTGCACACCAATAATTCTAGTAGAGAGACTCAGTTACCATACTAGTTAACTGAACATGGCATGCTGTACAATGCTATACTTGTTCCTTGCCAGATATTTTATGTACTATATGTATCTTGATGCAGAATAGGAATAACAATAGATTTACAAGCATATAAAATGTGGTTATATGTTTTTAATATGGCAAGACAAAGCTATGCAAGCCCATTATGACAAAGTTTGTCATTTTTGCGCATTTTCAAGACAACAAACTACATATTAAGATTGTTCCAGAATAAATTAAAAAAAAGAAAAAGTGAGGCTGCAAAAAACATAACTACAGTAAGTTACCTCCTACTACAGTCTTTTCTGATAGAAATTATAATTCTGTACGCAATCTAGAAGGAATAACTTAATAATAAATATGTTTGTGAGAACGATTAGTCAGAGGAAGGAAAGGTATGGTTTGGAACTGTGACCCATATTGCAGTTATCTGCTATTGAAAGTGACATAATGTGAGTTTCAACTGTGGCAGGAATCTCTCTAGTCTTCCCACTCCATTGGCAAAAGCCAAGGATGTGGATAACCCAGGTTTGGTGGTTTCCTGGGAACAGTAACAGGGGAGACACCGCCATGGTTAGTCGCTGGCACACGTTTCTTGATCGCTGTGGAAGTCTTCTTCCCATTCATCAAGGCTTTTGTCAGAGAGTGATCCAACTCTAAATCCTCTTCTGTCGGCCGTTCATGGAGAATATGTCTGATAGTGGGGATGGCTAAATCTGATTTGCAGTCCAGGTAGCTTTTGAGGTTGAGCTCAGGGAAAACTGCATCTCTGAGAGCGTGAACCAGCTGGCTCTCAGTGTGGGGCTGTTTGAGCTGCTTGGACACTCTCTGCTGCAGCGAGATGTAGCACAGCACATCTTCAGCCAGCTGTGACTTTCCCACAGTGCGGTTGGCCTGGCTCTTCTTTGACAGAGACTTCCTGACAATCCAGAGAGGATTGATTTACCCTATTCTGTCCTGGGCTCTGAGGGAAAACTGCATCTCTGAGAGCGTGAACCAGCTGGCTCTCAGTGTGGGGCTGTTTGAGCTGCTTGGACACTCTCTGCTGCAGCGAGATGTAGCACAGCACATCTTCAGCCAGCTGTGACTTTCCCACAGTGCGGTTGGCCTGGCTCTTCTTTGACAGAGATGGATTCAGCGTTTGTTGTTTAGACTTGGCCGGTGTCTCACTCAGCTGATTCTCCTGTTCTTTCCTCTTGCCGGCACGGAGCCTCTCTGAGCCACTTGGTAGGAGTTGATAGAGCCCTTCATCGGCCAGATCTGCTAGGTCACCAGCTAGCAGCTGCTGAACAATTTGTTTCCTCATTTGCGGAGATGTGAATGTAAGAGTGCTATGAAGTCCTCTGCCTGCATCAGACACAGAGCCAGCTTGTTAAACATCCCAGGCCGTGGGATACTTCTTGGAATAGCATTGGGCCTTCACACCCAGTATGCAACAGTACTGCCTGCAGTGATAAACTAAAAGCACAAGCCACTGCTTGCTAAATGCTGCTCATGAAAGCTAATAGCAGAGGATTCCATGCTGCCATGTCAAAACACAGGCCATTAGAAAAGTGTAGCTCTGAGAGGGAAGCAACGGAAATGAGGAAAGCAGGCAGCACTATACTGTATGGACCTACATAGCAAACAGTGTTGTAAACCAGCCAACCACATAAAAGTAAGCCCTTAAAGAATTATGTAAGGTCTGCAGATGTTCTCAGTATGCAGAGGAATGGTTAATGTGATGTGTATAGATTCCAACGAGTGTATCAAAGTCAATCAACTATAAAGATGACTGAGAATGACATCATCAAATACGTAAGCAGGTGATAACCATACAAGCCAAAGTCAATGTGACAGCCGTGTGTTTTGCAGAAGAAAAAAATGCCTCCACACCATCTAAACCTGTCTTTCAGCCATGTGTAAAGCAGTGCAGAGGCTAGGTCATTTATGTGAACTTTGCATTCATGCTCCAACAATAAAGCAAGCCCATTTTGAAGACCACACTTACCCTCCTTAAAAGATACCAGGATAACTCGGCTGTCGGCAGGCTGCGTTTTCCTGAAGTTGCCGTTCATAGGCAAAGGGACTGAGTCCTGGGCATGGGAGGAGTAGAGGGACGTTGCCAGAGTCATAAACTGGGAAGACACAACAAAACAAAAGTACTGTATATTATGTGCAGATTTTTTACAAATCAATTAAGTTTAAATACAAGGGACAGGTTATATTAAAATCAATTCAACATCAGTCTAACATCACCTTATTTCTTTAATATCTAATATCAATTCTGCTTTTAAAAAATTACTTGAAGTGATGACAAACCTGTTTGTGAGATATTGTTACATGATCCCTGAACACTGTCCACAGAACACTGGGATAGCATGGAGGAGTCGTCAGTGACCCGTCATAGCGATAATACTCATCCAGACGTGCAGGCAGCAGCGCCCTGATGTTGAAACCAGGCACACGCACTCTCTGATCTGTAGGTTAAATATAAACAGAAGTATTTTGTGACTCTTTAACAACCATGTACATCAGAATAAAATCGATAATGGCCACATCAGATTTGGAGATAATGACCCCAATTCCAGCAAAGGATGCACCGAACTACTCATGCTCATAACATATATTTAATATGACTAGAGTATAAAAGATGATCTGTAAATGGCTCACTTCTGTATTTGACACCATTGATGAACATTAGAAATTGTTCAAAGGCTGGATTGAACTCCCCAATCTGTATGAAAAACATAATGAGATGGTTCTGATCTACAGATAATCACAGATCACTGTCCCCACTGAGAGAGCCTCACCTCAATCAGGACGCCCAGCACAGCCAGGCCGTCAGATTTGTCTATCGCCATGGCCATGTTGGAGTACTTGTCTGAATTGAAGTGTACTACATGCATCTGGGAAGAAAAAGAAAAATACCTCAAGACCCTGTGGAATAAACACAACAAAAATAGCATTTGTAACAACTCCAAAGCTAGTCAACTGGAGAAAAATGGAGAAAACGTGCATCAAAAGAGTGCTATGATTATCTAATGTTATCTAAAGAAGAAGAAAAGAAACAATGGGTGGTCTATTTCATCACATAAATATAAAAATAAATAAATAAATACCACCCTATCAGAGGTTTTGGTGATGTTGCTGTGTGTTCAGAGCAACATAAAGGCATCTTGGTCACTCTGGATAAATATGACTAAACTGTATTCACAGACTTTGGTCTGTCTTGGGCAGACATTTGCAGTTTTTTTGGGAAATGTTCAATTCCCCATCATTCCACTCCTCACACAAAACATGTCATCAAGGAACTGCGGTTCTGGAGACTGGAGAGACTTGAAAAGATTCAGGCGCTCGACGTGTCCACCCAGAAACTTGGGTCAAACCACAGCACCTCATATGTGGCTCTGCTGCAGCTGAGGCATGGTCACATAACATCACACCATCTCAACTGCTGTAATTTCACTGACACAAAATTATATAAAAAGAGTCATATTTTTATTTATATCATAAATGGAACTTTAAATGTTAAATGTTCCAGTCAGATCTTCTCGCTTCCTTAAAGGACCACAGTAAACTAGGGCCTAAAACTGCTTACAGGGTTTGACATATTGCACAATACAGGCAGCCAGCTCCTTTCTAAAGATGGTTAAAAACCAAAGCACACAATAGTCTGGCTCTCTAATCCCTTTAAATCCTTCAGAAATAAGGCATGTTGACATACTTTACTTTCTGAGGTTCACTGAAATTATGTCTTTGCCTTTCTGCATGTGCAAGTATGTGACAAAATATGCTAATTTGATTGGTAAAGAGATTATTTATTTTAAAAAACGGTGCTCTTTTTATAATCTCAGTAGATTAGTACAAAAAACACTAAATCTCTTTAATCATGAAAAATATCATACAAGCACTAAAGTGTACTTTCAATTAAACAACAAAGTAAAAAATGCACAATAAGCATTGTCTGATGCTGTCTGATGGGAACTATAAACTGAATGTCAGCTACCCTGTCAAAACACTGGAACAATAATCTGCACATGCAGAGTTTTTGGGAGTTTGTTCAGTTTGAGCAGTGTTCATGTGCCTTGAAGGGTGTCAGTGCCGCTGATTTGTCTGCCAGTCAGATGTCACAGGTTGAAATCAGAAAGTAATAAATCATTTGTCTGGAGCTAGAGATCCTTTGTCTGATGCTGCGGATGAGCAAAAGACCCGTTTAGATGAAGAGACTATTAACCTCAAACACTAATAACTAATCAGTTACATTCCACCACCACCACCTTTTACATCAGTACTGTGTGGGTGCTGTTTGCTGTGTTTACCTCTGCTGCATACTGCTTAGTGTTCACCATGTGCTCGGAGCCTGCAGGTGTGATGGAAGTGCCCCAGTGGAAATGAAGCTGAGCAGCAGTGTAGCGATAAGGCAGGCTGGAGATGTACATTTTGGGGGGCAAGGACATTTGTACTGTGGATCAAAAGACATGAAACCCCAGCACAGATAAGCAACATAAGTAGGGGATACTTAAGTTAACATCAGCAGATCATGAAATATCCACTTTAACTTTATCTGAAGTGAGGAAACCAGTGTGACTCATTCTGTACTCTCAAAGTGCTTTTGCAAAAGCTGTGTAGTTACATTAAAGAGACTTTGTTGCCGCGTGATGCAGGGCGTTTTCCAAGTGAAGGACCTTTGTCAGCTTATTACGGACACACATCACGCTGATGATGCCAATGTTTGTGGCATTAGAACCCATCAGGCATGCACACACAAGCATTTGAATGATCTTTGCACTCTTGTCAATGGCTTACATTTTCCTTACGCAGATATTACACCAATTCAAACGCCACCAACACCAGGCAAACATGATGTGCATGTTCAGCTACACAGCAGCTGCCATTGAAAATCCTCATATACCATAATTTCTACATTGGACCTAAAGCGATTTGAAGGAAAGTAAATAAACCTGTACTACTTTAAGTTAGGTTTCTGACCAATATTGCTTCTTGTCATCAAACACGGCAGAATGAATGAATGGATAATCATATTCTAAGTCATCAAAATAGTTTTCTGTCACACTACGGTCTAGTATTTAAGACTCTGTTATAAATATTGTTAAGTTGTTAAGATGCATCAGACCCAACAGAAGCAGAGCATATGACTTATCCCTGCTCCTATTTTCCCAGACTAAACATGTAGCTCATTGGTTAAAAACATCAACGATAATAAGAGTGATCATGGAAAATTGCTGTGGCAGATGTAGAAAGAACACTGTCCTATCATTTTCTTTAGGGTGATCTGTAAATTAGGTGTCTACAGCGAGATCTGACTCCTCCATGTTTACCTGAGGCCATCGGATGAATATAGTGACTAGTGTCTCGGTTTGTCTTGAACAATTTCTAGATTCCAAGCCAAACAAAAAATGGTGCTGTTTGTTTATTTGGACTCATCAAACAGCTGTGTTACCTGTGATGCAACCGTTTTAAAGTACAAATGGCATTTTAAATAGTGGTTGTGGATACCAGTGATGATTTATACTTACTAGAATGTCCACTGTTTCTAAGGGTGAGCTGCTCACTGGGTGACAGGTTGTAGTTGTGAACCTCAATGGGACGTAAAGTTGAGTTGAACCTTAGAAGCTCTGGCATGAAGTCAACTGGAGACTGGAACGCTGCACCACAGTATGGATACTGCTTGGACCAATGGTGCTGTCCATCTGGCCCTGCAACAGCATCAGTATATATCATTAACACTTATGGGGGATGTTTACATCTTAATGTAGCCCAAATGTAATTTTCACAGTATCCATATACAGCATAGTGGTGCTACATACTCCATATTCTAAGTCATGTCAAAGCTGTAGTAGTGATACATGTCTAACATCGCAATGGGATATGTTGCATGTCTTTTCAAATATATACAAATGTTCCAACCTAAAGGCCACATGAGCAAACTAGTGTGAAAGTCAATAGGAGATCGCTCCAAAGAGGGCCAGGGCTTATCCTGGCTGACGGAACATTTGATCTAGAACCAAAATGAAGTATTATTATCATCTACAGTATGTACACGGTGGCACGGGAGAGGCTCGTGGCTTTGCTCATGACCCTTAAAGCAGTGAGAGTGAGAACCAGGCTGGTATTTGTGGTGAAAGGCAGTGAGAATGCTGTCTCTCTTCAAATGAGAGGTTTCTGTAAAGCACAGGACACTGAAAATGACCACATTTACAGAACAAGTCATGCAGTTTGTAGTGATGTCAGCTGGCAGGAGGGTGTCTCTCATTAGGGTGTCTGTACTAATAGTTTTAATACTTAACACATGTTTTGTGTTAATGCTTTTACTTAACATTAGTAACTTTTTGTAACAGAGTAGGCTACTCTTACAGTGTGATATTAGTACTTTTACTTATGTAAACTGTGAAACCATTATATTTTCTGAGATAGTTATCATACCATTGCATTCCACTACAATGATAAAGACTTTAGGGGGTTTGACTGGTGAGGAGGAAGTCCACCTGGCCTCTTTTCTTATTCATCTTCAGCGTACATAAGTGAACGTATTGGCACATTCAAAAGTTAAGTTAAAAGGAAAACAGTAAGTTGGAGCAATATTTTTATCTGAAGAAAAATTATATCAATTTTCTGCACCTGCCTACTTAATGGATTTTAACATTTAGGCCTGTTGAGAAGCAGTGACACAATGACAAGTTGTCATATTCTGAGCACAGTTTACATAAAAGATAGTTATTATGGTTCAAGACATCCCTGCATTTAGACCTTAAGGCAGAAGACAAAGTCAGTAATACTGTAATTGTAGATTCTGTAATGAACTCTACAATTATATCAGCATTATTTGTCTTTGAGGGTCAAAGATAGGTCCATTTGATCACTGAATTTGATGCTGTTATCGTGTTTGTCTTACTATTTGGCACTGCTTGATCAAAGCGCTGCTGTGGGGCAGAACAACAAGTACATCTCCAACTCAGTTATTGCGTGTCAGAGAGTTACATCAAATCAAATCGAATTCTAACACTCAGTTTGTGCTGATTTAAGTGACCAATATAAGTGCACATATATCAAAAATGAAATTTGTCTCCTTTTTTGATCTACAACTGACACTGTGAGGAATTCCTATAAGAATATTAGCATACTTACCAATATATGTCCACTTGGCACCTGAAACAGGCAGAAAAAATGCACCCTACTGTGCGTTTATTTAACAGACACACAATTTTACACATTAATGATACAACACAATAAACCTAGAAATTTAACAAACAGTTTGAAAACATGTATCCAAACTATTAATCTCAGAAATGGTCACATGTCATGTCACACTCTTGTGCAGGTGGATGGCTAAATGCCACAGAGACCCTGTAAGTGTTAAATGCCCCAAGTATCTTGCAGTAGAGCCATTCCCCTCACCCCTTGTCCTCTCAACGAGCATCCAAAGCTTTTACAGTTCATTCTAACAGGCTACTTTCTGCACTCAGTCCTACCGTATACAGTGAGGAATGTCAGCTGTAGTAATGTGGTGGCTCTGAAGCTCAGAAAGTGCATGTTGATCCCCTCGGCTCTGATGTCCACCCGCTGCGTACAGGAGTCTGGGGCGCCAGAGTTCCAGCTTCCAAACCGGCTTTTATACTCATGTTGGCGGTTTCATTGTAGCTCGCACTGACGTCAGAGCAACAACAAAAGCTGCTTCCAGAGTCATTTGGTCACCGAAGAGCAGCAGCTCCACAGCGGCGACCGCGTCCAAGAGAAGCCACTCATTAAGGACTCAGACCTGTGACATGCGGCGCGCACATGTGCAGGTGTTTTTATTGCTTGTTTTGTTCTCTTTTATTGTGAAGCTTAGCGCTGGTTTAGAAAGGTGCTGCAACTTTTGTTTGCTTGACTGAGTGACATATGTTTTGTCACTATCAAAAACTGCATCAATAAACTGTGAGGTCACCATTTTTGATTAAAAAAGTCAAAACACGTGACACTGAAATGCAGTGATCCATTGCCTGGAGACATGCAGGTTACATTACAAAAAATGCACTAAATGCTTGTCTTCTCCTTTGTGCACCTTCTGAAAGGTATAAACATCTATCTATCTATCTATGCATCCATCACAGTCCTATTTACAAATTCTAGATGAGGATTGTTACACCTTAAAGATGACAGTGAGAGATGGAGATGGAGCAACTCTCTGACGTAGCTCTGTGCCAGGTGGGATTTGACTAGACTAAAAATTCTCTCCATTCAATCCCTCTCTAAAAGGTTAAGTTGTATTTGGGATTCAGTTAATCTCACTTTTGAATTATATGTCTCAGCATGAGCTCCAAAACAATGAAATAACCTATCTACAACATAACTGCAGTACACTAACCTATCCATTATTGTATATGTTGCTGCTATTGCAGTATCATGTATAACATAATATTCCCTGAAAGAGGCTTGGGAATATGTGCACTTTCTGGCAATATATTTAAAGCCATTAATAAACAAATATGCAGATGTTTCAAACATAACACTCAACAGTAACAGCATTATGATATGCTACTGCACAATGAGCACTGTATGTGGAATAAATATCTACTATAATATAAGAATTTGCGACTTCTTCCCTGCCATAAAGGATAAAAAAGAAGAAGACGTCTATCCCCCTGTTAGCAGTTGTTTCGGTTGAAGGTGTCACCATTATGGATGTGTCAGTCTAAAGGTCAGTAATGACAACCCACTTCACTGTAGTTTACAACCTTCACTCATTCGGTTCAGGAAAGACAGCACAAAGACAATCAGCAAGATGAAGCACCTGCTGTTTTGGGGCTTTGCTTTTACCACATTCCACGTCAGCTATTCAAAGATTCCAGGTACATCAATCTGTTTTTTATTGTTTTACATAGTTTGTTTATTATTGATCCATGTCTCTCACTTATATATAATCTTTTAGTTGCACTGAAACTTTAGCAAGCAAATAAGCCTCACCTTTAGGCCTTTAAGAGCAATGTGGCGGTTACATTGGCACTTAGATCTCTCAGTTTTTCTGTGACATGGGGACTAACTAGACTACATAAACTATTGGCTGACTCATACACAGTATACGCATGATGCCTGCATCTTTCTGTGTGATAACGCAAAAAGAAGAAGTTCAATCAGAAATCAATAGACGTGACAGAAAAAAACACTGCTCATTATACAAGTCTAGACTGCATCTCCTAGTAGGATGTAATTGTATTTTACCTTTTGTACTGACTTTATGTTTATGCTGTAACTTGTGACTGAAGCCAACAATGATTATCTTTACCTGTGACCAAAGAGGAAAAGATGGTATTTACTCTCCTGGAAATGTTATTTACACACCGCTAACGACTTTGCTAAGCTGAATGGACAATTCCTTCCTCTATAATTCCAAACCTTTAAATGCTGAGATCATCGCTGTCTGAGCCTGACAGCTATATGCATGATGAATTGAAACCTTCATCCTGTAACTTCATCTCCTTGGGAAAGCCTGGATTTTGAGCATCCAGGAAGGAATACCCAGTTAGTTACAGTAGTTTCCCTCCAAAATCAAGTGTATTTTGGGTAAAAGAACCATTTGAAACCACTTCCTGTGAGTGAACTAAGGGCGGGAGGACTGAAAACGTACCATAAATTAGGTTTTTATTGCTGTCATAAAAACAGGGAGTGGGTCTCTGGTGATGAGGTTAGTTAAATATTAATTACAAGATTACTGGTATTTGTTGATGATTAGCCAACAGTATTCTGAAATAGTATATGAATTGCTTGAAAACCAAAGTGCCACCTTAAACTTTTTGCAAATAAAATTTTTCTAACATACAGTTTGTTTTTATCATCCAACAGATTTCTGTCATTTGCCCCAGAATGAGGGCGATGGTGAAGGGTTCACCTTCTCCTTTTATTACAATGCCACCAAAGACCGGTGCAATCCTTTCATATACAAAGGCAGAGGAGGAAATGCCAACCGCTTTGCAAATGAGAAACAATGCATTAGAAATTGCTCTGCCAACGCAGAGAAAATCTACCCCATGGATGGTAAGATGACTTTATGAATTTATAGGGACAGAGAATTAATGTACTCATTCATTTAGTTTAACCACTAACCGTCAGTTTTAAATATGCACAATGTCTCATGCCTAAAGTAGCTGAACCCAGACTAAAAAAACATTCTTATTCCTGGCTGCTTTCGGATGACTTTGGAATAATCAACTGGCCAATGAGATAGAGTTTAATGGCCTAGAAGTCCATGAAAGGAATCACTATATCATCATCAAGCCTCCACTATCACAACGGACAAAAAGAAACCTTCTTGAGTCATCTGACAACCAGATTATAGGCAGGGATCCCTGTGTTATGCCTGCGGAAGAGCAGGTTAATCACTTATTGGTGTTAATGCTATTTTTTGTGTTGATGGAATGTACACATACAACTTTAAGTTTTACTTTTTCATAATTCTTTTACACATATTTATTGTGTTTCTTCTGATGCTGAAGGAAAGTCTTGTGTCATAATTGCATATTAGCAATACACCACCAAGTGGTAAAAGAGCAGGACTGACAAACACAATTGTGAAAGAATACACCCAATGCTTTCACACCCTGATGGATGAAATTTTGGAAATTTTGCATTCTGACCAGACTGTATCCAAGCAGCTCATACATATTCAATAGCATTTGTGTTGTTATGTGACTACTATTATTAAATGCAACTGCAGGTATTACTACTTGTAATAATGATGATGATATTTTCTCTTTGCAGAATCCCAAGCTTGTCACTTTAAAAAGGCCATAGGTGAATGTAATGGTAATGCAGTGAAATTCTTCTATGATCCTATTCATCAAAAATGCATAACATTCCTTTGGTCTGGATGCATCGGAAATGGAAACAGATTTGACAGCTATCGTATCTGCAACACCACCTGTTTTGGCATCCGTGGTGAGCACAAATCTCTCTGTACACTGTACACAGCTGCTGATAATTATACACATTAATATATAAATACATAACTGCATGTTTTAAAAAAATAATGAGTGAGTAATGACACGTCAAAAACTGGGCACATTTAATCATCTTTTTTAACATGTTGAAGACGATGGTGATGCAGAGGAGGAAACTGAACATGACACACCTGTTGGTAAGCAGAAATAATGAATTCAGCTTAGCTTTAAGCTAAAAGCCATGACAAGTTGCACAATCTTAATTTACAGTATAGTTTGAATTCTTTCTTATTTCAAAAGTAATAATGTGAGTAGAACAGATGCCATTTTGTTGGTTTGCTTTAGTCCTGCCTGTTTTTAACACAGCATGTATCAGGTTCTAACTAGCTGCAACTATCTGTGTAAAAATATTGTTATATAGTTTATTATTTATTATCTAATTATTTACATAAATCATCATCTTTTGCAATGTTGTGCCCTTTAACAGCAATCATCTGTGGAGTTCTGCTTGCTGTCATTATTACCGCTATCCTCATAACTGTGATTGTCTTTATCGTTAAGTCAAAGTAAGACAATTTTTCTTAGTCTTTTACAATAAAAAAATGGTGGCAGACTACATCTAAAAAGCAATGACATTACTTATAGAAAATTATCTTCATATTTACTGTACACCTGCAGGAAAAAGGGCTCCAAGAAGAAGGCGCCAGGGAAAAGCAAAGAGGCCCAGAGTGAATTACCTCTTCAGGAGCAGGGGACTGAAATTTCATAGAAAATCATGCCACCTCACCTGGAGTATTTACTAGCTTGGTTTTGTTTTATAACTCTACTGGTCTTGATATAGCAAACATATTGGCTGATTATTACATATAAGTTCAACTTAGACAGTTTTTGTTTCACCTCTGATGTTTCTTACATTATATTTTTTCTATGAGCTTTATCTTTTCATGCAGTAAGAATAAATCTAACTAGATTTTTCCAAACACTAGAAAGAAATTGTGATCCCTAATGAATTTCTGATATTTTATACACAAAACACTTAATCAAAAAATAGCCAGCCTACTAATTATCACTGAAATTATGTCTCAAAGAAACATACCTGCCAGAAACTTCTTATAAAAGCGACTCAGTGTTTTCGATTCAAGCTCAGTATTTAATGCCATAATCATTTTAGTGTTGCCAAAATATAACTGCAATCATTGCCTGGCTCAGTGAGTTGCTGGAAACTGTCAGAGGTCATCTGAATGCACATGCTAATTCAAACCTAACACATCTATTTAGAGTTGTTTTTACAGTTGTGTCAACTGCTCATTGTGCTATTAGGTTTTCCTGCTATGTATGTGTGAATTTGCTAAATTGAGGCCATTCAAATTATTCATAATATTACAGAACAATCACTAGAATGCTTATTTTGATGGGAAATGTGATGGTGGCATTCCATTTTTGCTTGCTTGTTTGTTTTTTAATTTCTTGGTTTTTTAATTTACTGTAAGTGATGTAAATTTTCATGATTTTGATGATCAACTATGGCTTAATTCTAAGAATATTCTCAAACAGTGCTGCAATAAACATCACAAGGCCTTCTTTTAAAGTTGCTTTTGTGCTGTTTTTCAGAGTTGTTTGTTTGGTTAAATAGGTTATATTGCTGGTGTTTAATCTGTGCTAGCTTTCCCATTATTATTGACAAAGTGTACAATTTAGTTTGTAGATTGTTTAACTCAGGCAATGCTTTCACTAAATGCAGTCCTCCTATTAAATCTATTGGTGTATTAAGTCATGAGCGAAGATGGTTAAAAAGACAGTGAAAAAAGGCACAGGCTAATTAAATAAAAAGAACATAGTAGAAAACTGCACTGTAAAATAAAAGCCAACTTTGGAAAAATGACATTTTGAAATAAAAACTGATTAGAATAAATAAAGGGTGTCTGTAATAAAATCTGCCATTACAAAACAAGCATGGCAAGATAATCATTTCAAATAATAAACAGATTTATCTTTTATGTTTTTCAATTTCATGGTCATATTATAAAATTGTCTGTATTGCTAGTTAGTTATTTCATAATGTCTTATTTATTTATTTACTCGATTTAGAACACTTTGGAGTTCCAACATACATATATGTGGCCTCAGTGTTTCAGAAAACGTGCTTAAGAATTTAACAGTACAGTAGAAGGAAGACGTTCGACTGTTCTCCCAGTAGATTTTTCATAGTTGGTTTGCAGAGCCCTTAAGATAGAAAGGTTGTAACAGCGAGGGGTCAAGAACGGTAGCGAGTCACGTGACTTGTGTAGCTTTCCAACTACTTTTAATTAGTTGAACAACGTTGCTAACCAATTCTGTGTTCTGTTGTTGTAGATAGCTTACCTTAATTAGCTAGCTAGCTAGGTATATCATTATAAAATGATTCATTATTCAATTATTAAAGTGACTCAATGTTTGACGAAGGCAGTCAAACGTGTATAAATGTTTTGACACTTGCCACTAACCTAAAATGTCACAAGTATAATTATTGCTATTGATTTCAACTTCTCATTTAAGATAGCAGCCAAGTAAATGCTATTTGGAACTATTCGACATCTCCATGATCCACCGTACGTCATCACATTTCTTTCTAAACCACTCTGGTTTGTAGCTGGCAAGCTTCCGACCGACCCGGCAGACACTACGTCACTTCCTCAAGGTATTTCCATTTGTTTGTGACAACGGCAGCAGTTATTTTGTACCGTATATATCAAAGATAATGTGGCTATTTTAATCTTACAGTTCGTCAGGCTGGAAACGACACTACCTATGTTTTATGCTGCCGAAGCTGTACTCTGAAATTATGCAGGAAATATAGCGTATATTTACCAAACGTGTTAGCGTTAGCAAAGACAGGAAAACGTGCGTTCGCCAAAGGAATAGTTGGCCAGCTAACGTTTGCTAGCTAGCTTAGGTTGATTGGCTAACTATCATTAGCTGCCTTGTTCCTGGTACCGTTCGTGTTGCAGTGCCGGCTAACGTTAGGGGACTTTGTCACTATTGTTCACTGATGGAGTGCTCTCATCTGAACTCAAACGTGAGCTCCACAATCGATTCCTCCGTGTTTCCTAGCGGTACTCCGTCTTCCTGGTGTTGCAATGGTAAGACAAGTGACCGTCACCCTTTATCGTTACTAAAATGAACATTAATATAAAGATTACAGCTAGGTGCGATAATGTGGATCCTAGCTTCTGGTCAGGCTACTGGCACTGCCATATTGTCACTTTGGTAGATACCGTAACTTAGCTACAAGTCAACACAACAGCTCTCGCAAGGTCAAGTCACAATTCACAAAATATCTTGTTTATTGTTTCATTGACTCATGAAAGAATAGTTCATTCACAACCGCATTTCTGCAGTACATTGTGCCCTTAAGACAGCTTCATCTTTTTCTTCAGTCTGCAGGTCTAATAAAAGTCCATGGGTTTGCCTTACCTGTTTGATGGTCCATTGTGGAAGGTAAATTTGTATCTGCGTTTTGTTGTAACTAAAGCTGCACTCAGTGGCAAACATACCACTCTAGTTACATAAGTAGCTGGATGCATTGGCTTGTCTTAGACCTGTTGCTTTTGTTGACCATTTTAACTTCAAGGCCCACGAGTCAATTGCACAATCGTGTAAGGGCCACAGTACATTAAGTAAGGTTTGCAGTCTACTGTTCTTCCAATAACCACAGAGATTAATGAGGAGAATTATGGCCCTGAAAACCTGGGTTTAACGCAGTACATGTACAAGTATTTCCCCCAGAGCCGTGATTTGTTTTAGAACAGGTCTGGCTAGCCCCAGTTTCCACTTGTTATGAATAATGGAATTTCATTTAAGTTTCAAAGTTAAGTGTTGGTTTTTCTCATTGGTGAGCTTTGGGGGAAAAAAAGAAAACATGGTTATTTTACATCACTCACCACTATTTTGGAAGGCTCCTCTCCTGGTAGTTGAGAAGCACTGTGCTTGTTCTGGAACACACGACTGCAAAACCATTTTTTAGCATAGTTTAGGCCTATATCAGGCTATATTTATTTTTAATGAATTCCACATGTGTGTAATAAGTCTCTCTTTATTTAGATATGTTAATGGACATTCAAAGAAACACTTTGAAGAGAGCCAAGTGCTTGGTATTAGTCAAAAGAAGGCTGAGAAACAGGAGAAGGAGAAGTCCTATCACTCTGTCTGCATGGACTGCAGCAACTACAGTGTGTTTTGGTGAGTGTCCTTCATGACCAGCCTATCTGTGTTTACAGTCTGTGCCTTTCTGTGGGGCCCCACAAAAGTACAGTTGTAAAAGCTTTAAGTAGTCAAAGGTTTGTTGTGCTGTAGAAATGTTGCTAGATTGTTTTTAAACAATCAGCTACCATTCAAGTGAATCAGCATTCAAAACACAACACAGCGAGCCCTATTTTATAAGCTGTAGACATAAGTATTTGCCACATACAGTAAACACCTGTGGTTCAATGCTACATGCTCCCACAGTGAAAAATGATATAAATTTATTTGATTGCTGTGTTTCTTATTCCAAGTTTTGATGCATCCAAATCAAGATGTATGTATTCTTTTTTTCATCTAACGTGCATTTTATAGTTACAGATGCGATGACTTTGTTGTCAATGACACCAAACTCGGGCAGGTGCAGAAGGTGCGGGAACAACTTCAGAGCTTAGAAAAGTAAGTGCTTCTTTACTTTTAAGTCTTTCAAACTGTCACCATTACACTATAGAAATAACTATCAGTAGTCAAAAATACAGCATTAGTTTTTGATTGTTTGACATAAAAGGCCATGTCGTGTCTTCTTTCTCAGTGAAGATGCACACAACAGATGTTTCACTTTTTAATGTTTAATACAAGATCAGTGTCTACATAAAATGTTTTTCTTCTCTTCAGCTCAGCACTGATGGGTGATAGACAGAGGAAAAGAAAACTTCAAGAAAGCCCAGCCCCAGACAGCAAGTTGTTAAAAGGCAATGTAAGTGCCTGAAAATAGTATGGTTTGTGTGAGTGTGTAAGAAAAGTTCAAGTTGAAGAACAAATAGCCTGCACTACCACTCACACTTGGCTTAGATCGTTCTCTTTGCAAGTCCAAATTCACACTGTGGGACAGGGCTGCAACTAATTGAGTCACAGCAGCCTTTATAGAGCTCTACACCAAATGACTGTCATGTCTTTAAGTGCTGGTTTAAGCTTTTCTTTTTTTTTTTGTCTGTTTTTTACTAACGTATTTAAAATATATATTTTTAAAAAGAACATATCAATGCATGCCGCTTGTCTCTGTCAGGATGGGGCAGCTCTAGGTGCTACAGGACTGAGGAATTTAGGCAACACATGCTTCATGAATGCCATTCTGCAGTCCCTCAGGTAAGGCTCTGTGCTGAGAATGAGGTGTGTGGGTGGTAAACTGGCTTTGCATCAAGGTTCACTAGCTCTGCCTCTGCAGACCCAGGGCCCCATGACTAGTCATCTTTTATCATTTCAGTCTGGGGCACATTTGGGAGATAACACAGGCTGCTTGGAAACAGATTTCCTAGATAACACACATATGCCAGGTTAACTGGCAAACACACTTAACTAATGTGTGATATATAAACTTTATAGCAAGTACATTTGATAATACTGCTGACCATTTTCCAAAGAATGGTATACCTAAAGAAAAATGCCCTACCTACTTTCCAGGCACCTATTATTTTCTAATCATATCAGTATTGTGTTAAAATCAGTTTGCAGAAGATTGAAATGTGATTTATGAAGCTAATTCATTGCTGATAGTTGTCTTTGTTGCTTCTATATATTTGTTTTTTTTGCAGTGGAAACCTTGAATGGTCCTTCAAAGTCAAAAAGCAAATAGCAGCAAAGTGTAAACAGACATGTAGAAAGTGGGACAGGTGGACATGTCTGTCAGAGAGAGGTTGTGGGGTAGATGGTCTATTACTGTGCACTTGATTGTCCACTACTTGGAGGGAAGCCATGAATAATGTAGTATTTCTGGTAATTTAGTGAGCAGTGTACTCTAAAATAATCTTTCAGATTTTAGTAGCCAGCTGAGATGTATTGCTCTGTTTATATAAAAAAAAAATTCTACCATAATTTCTAGACTATAAGCCGCACCCACTAAGTGTAAGACAAAAAACATGATGTACATAGCCGCAGGTGTCCACGTTGTAACATGAGATATTTCGACAGCCAGATCAATCACCTGAAACTTGAAGCGGCATCATACAGTGGTGTGAAAAAGTGTTTGCCCCCTTACTGATTTCTTATCTTTTTGCATGTTTGTCACACTGTAATGTTTCAGATCGTCAAACAAATTTATATATTAGTCAAAGATAACACAAGTAAACACATCATGCAGTTTTTAAATGAAGGTTTTTATTATTAAGGGAAAACAAAATCCAAAACTATAGAGCCCTGTGTGAACAAGTGTTTGCCCCCCTGTCAAAACACTGGTTTATCGCACCTGAGTTCAATTTCTCTTGCCACACCTGTTCGCAATCAAGAAATCACTTAAATAGGACCTGCCTGACAAAGTGAAGTAGACCAAAAGATCCTCAAAAGCTAGACATCATGCCGAGATCCAAAGAAATTCAAAAACAAATGAGAAAGAGAATAATGGAGCTCTATCAGTCCGGAAAAGGTTATAAAGCCATTTCTAAAGCTTTGGGACGGCAGCGAACCACAGTGAGAGCCATTATCCACAAATGGCGAAAACATGGAACAGTGGAGAACCTTCCCAGGAGTGGCCGGCCGACCAAAATTACCCCAAGAGCACAGCGACAACTCATCCAAGAGGTCACAAAAGACCCCACAACAACATCCAAAGAACTGCAGGCCTCACTTGCCTCAGTTAAGGTGAGTGTTCATGACTCCACCATAAGAAAGAGACTGGGCAAAAATGGTTTGCATGGCAGAGTTCCAAGACAAAAACCACTGCTGAGCCTCTGCCATGCAAACCATTTTTGCCCAGTCTCTTTCTTATGGTGGAGTCATGAACACTCAGCTTAACTGAGGCAAGTGAGGCCTGCAGTTCTTTGGATGTTGTTGTGGGGTCTTTTGTGACCTCTTGGATGAGTTGTCGCTGCGCTCTTGGGGTAATTTTGGTCGGCTGGCCACTCCTGGGAAGGTTCTCCACTGTTCCATGTTTTCGCCATTTGTGGATAATGGCTCTCACTGTGGTTCGCTGCAGTCCCCAAGCTTTAGAAATGGCTTTATAACCTTTTCCGGACTGATAGAGCTCCATTATTCTCTTTCTCATTTGTTTTTGAATTTCTTTGGATCTCGGCATGATGTCTAGCTTTTGAGGATCTTTTGGTCTACTTCACTTTGTCAGGCAGGTCCTATTTAAGTGATTTCTTGATTGCGAACAGGTGTGGCAAGAGAAATTGAACTCAGGTGCGATAAACCAGTGTTTTGACAGGGGGGCAAACACTTGTTCACACAGGGCTCTATAGTTTTGGATTTTGTTTTCCCTTAATAATAAAAACCTTCATTTAAAAACTGCATGATGTGTTTACTTGTGTTATCTTTGACTAATATATAAATTTGTTTGACGATCTGAAACATTACAGTGTGACAAACATGCAAAAAGATAAGAAATCAGTAAGGGGGCAAACACTTTTTCACACCACTGTATGCATTTCGTCGTGTGTTGTCCATGATGAGGGTGTGTGCATGAAGCGACAAAAGTAGCGGCTTATAGTCCGGAAAGTACGGTAATCCAGAAGACAGTATTATTCATAAGAATTACATAACATGGCCAACTTCTTCTTGTTTTTGGACAGCAACATCGAGCAGTTCAGCTGTTATTTCAAGGAGCTACCAGCAGTGGCTCTACGCAGTGGTAAGACGGCAGGAAGAAGGATGTACCACACCCGCAGTCAAGGGGACAACAGTGTGTAAGGTCCTCTTCAGGGGAGGGAGGATTTATGGGCAATGATCTGAAATTTGTTAGTGATCATGTAAGACAGTCTTTTCTTATTTGAATCCAGCAGGAGTAATTATCTTAATTTTGCTGCAGAGTTAGCCTTAAATTGTACCTTATTAATAGTACAGAAATAGACTTTTAGGATGAATGATACAAAAAAACAACAATGCAGTGTGATTTAAGTTGTGTGTCAAGTATCGGTAAGTCTTAGTATCTTCTGTAAATGTTTTTTCCTTCAATGTTGATTGTGCCCGCTTGTGTAATGTGGTAACATGGTTTGTTTGTTGTGAAACAGGTCTTTGGTGGAGGAGTTCAGGAAAACCCTTTGTTCCCTGTGGCAAGGGAACCAGACCGCTTTCAGTCCAGACTCCTTATTTTATGCTATATGGAAAATCATGCCAAGTTTCAGGTACATCGACACTGTACATACAGTTTGCCAGAATTAAGCTCCTAATATTAAACAAGACACAGTTTCTTTTTCAGTTCTCTTTTCTGCCCACGAGCCCAAGTGTAGCACATTATAGTCAAAATATTGTCCAAAATGCAATATGCACCGAAGATGAGAACAGTCTATTGTGAGTTGTTACATTAATGCCATTTAAACCTGTGTTTATGTGTCCAGAGGCTATCAGCAGCAGGATGCCCATGAGTTTATGCGTTACCTGTTGGACCACCTCCACAGGGAGCTCCAGTACAGTCACAATGGGGCTTCTCTCCCAGTCTCACCTCAAGATAGGGTCCAACTCTCTAAAGCAGAGGGCAAAGGCTTCATGTGAGTTCATCTAACCTTACAAGTATTTATTGTTTTCCAAGATGTTTGTGCTTTCTGCTGTTTTCCTTTTGATTTTTACAACGTAAACACAGTTTGCATTATAGTAGTCATGTTATCAGCCATCTATGACATGGCTTATGAGTCTGTTTTCTTTTCTTCCAGTAGCCTACATTTTGTTTTTAACTCAGCAGTGACCTAAACAGCTTTATGTTTGACTTTTGATCTTTATAGTAATGGGACTGCCAGTGTTGTCACATCCGTTTTTGGTGGTGTACTTCAAAATGAAGTCAACTGCCTGATATGTGGGACAGAATCTCAGAAGTTTGATCCATTTCTTGGTAAGTGAACAGCTTTTGTTACATGCAGCAAGTTGAAGAAAGGCTCAGTATTCTTCTCCTTTTCAGTAGTTTTGACCAAAATAAAACATGAATGAAAGGATGTAAACCCAATTACTTAGGGGTATATAATTTAAGCCTGTTATAGCCCAGTGGTTTAATGGCCTTATTTTTTTCACTCAGATCTGTCTTTGGACATTCCCAGCCAGTTCAGACAAAAGAGAAGTAAGGACCAGGAGCCAGGGCCGACATGTACCTTACGTGGTAAGTTTCACGTTGTCAGAGGTAATGATTCCTAACATTATTTTGGCAGTACTTGTTTCTTATTGTGACCTGCTGAGAATAATGATAACATTATATATTTATGGTTTTGTTTTAGACTGCTTGTGTAGCTTCACTGACCTGGAAGAACTTGATGAAACTGAACTGTATTATTGCCATAAGTGTAAAGCACGACAGAAATCAACTAAGAAGTTTTGGATCCAGAAGCTGCCGAAGGTAGGAGACAGGTGTTCTTAGGCCTTTTATAACGGCTTATTAATATGATTGTTTATTCAGCCAGAGTAAAGTAGTGGGGAAACCTGTGTGTTTTGGTATAATTAAAGGTTTTATTTCCATGTGTAGGCTTTGTGTCTGCACCTGAAAAGGTTCCACTGGACATCCTTTCTCAGAAACAAAGTGGATACCTATGTGGAATTTCCACTGGAAGGTCTGGACATGCAGAGCTACTTACTAGAGGTGAGCTCAAAACAGAAGACACTGACCATTTCACTAGTGTAGTTTTGAAAATATTATATCTTAGACAAGGTATACCAGAGATGCATTTTGTGGAAACTCGTGGACTTTATAAGTGGCTGAAAAATTTGACCTAAAATGAATGAATGAATGAAGAATTAATAATAAATTTATAAAAATGCAAGTGATTCAGCTACACTCATGAACTGAGGGCCACACTAATGCATATAGAGAATTATAATAGGTCAGAGGGTAACTATGTTGAATGAGTCCAGGCCTCTATGAAAATTAGCTGCAGTTTGGTGGACTCCAGAAATATTGGCTGTACCCAGAACACAGTATGCAAAAACATCCACACAAATAATTAATAAGCCTTTGCTGTTCTTCACTGCGTCCACTGTTACGGAAGTAACATCTTGCAGATCACTGTTGGTCTCTACCTATACTACATTTGGAAAATGATGGGGATTATCTTAAACTTGTATTGTGTACACTTTAGTGCCAAAGAAATATAGTAGTTAAATGAATTATTAGTCATAATGGGCAATTGTGTTACTACCAACTGTAGTATGCTTATTAGTATTACTAGGATAACTGGGTGGCTCCTTCATTGGTGGCAGATTTTATCTAGCCTTGTGGGAGCTTTGCAGATGTTTTCAGACCTGTGCAGGATGCTCGTAGAGCATCTGTTTGGAGCCGCACACTTGTTCTTAATGTTAATTGAACTTGGCAATGCATGAAATGTAATGCACTTTGATCACTGTGCATCATAGATCAGCTTTCACCTTCTGAAGAGTGTCCGCTTGCTCTAGGGCTGCTGTTGCACAGCAGCTGTGTTGTCTGACAATGGGTACAGAAAAACTGGAATTTCTCAACTTATTCTTTTTATGTTTGCAGCCAGAGAAGTTATCACCACAGAGATGCCTGTATGACCTTGTTGCTGTCGTAGTACATCATGGATCTGGGTGAGTAGCTCTTCCATACTATATGGAAGATAAGGCTATAAGGCTTTTTCGTATAATTTACTTCAGTCCTTATAATATAGGATGACAAGAAAAGCTTTCTGACAGTTGTTATGAGGATTGTGAAATGTGCTTATTTACAGTAAGTGCCCTAGTTTAGGCACACGGTGACAAGTTATTAATGTGTATTGCTTCTGTTTGTGACATCTATTTAATTATAATTGGCAGTTTGACAAGCACTTAAATCAGCCTCATGCTGCAGAATATTTATTAGACTCACAAGATGGTCTTTTGTCAGCATGGCAGCAAAATTATCTACATCCATTAAAAATAGTAATGAATGAAAATTCAACACTCAACTGTAAATCTATACATTATCATCTACAGACCAGCTCAGCTTTAGTCGCCTGATCCAGTTTTGTTGAAAGGCCTTGTGGACAGCTGTGGTTTATAAATTCACGTCTTCACTAAATGCTGAAAGGCATTAGGCTGCACGGTTTTGAAAATGTGTTTAGATATGCTAAGAGGAGCTGTACATCAAAGTGCTGCTGTTTTACATTTGGCCTCTAGATGACAATGTTGCGCTGCTGCTGTGTTGTGATGCTAAAGTTGGCCCTCTCACTTCAACAGCAGTAAATGACGTCTTGTATAAAGCCAGACGGCAGAGTGTGATATGCGTCTGTGTTCACAGGGTTGGATCAGGGCATTATACAGCATATGGTAGCCATGAGGGCCACTGGTACCACTTCAACGACAGCACAGTGACTCTGACCAATGAGGACACAGTGAGGAAGGCTAAGGCCTACATCCTCTTCTATGTGGAGAGAACTGACCAGCTGGCCTCAGACCACTCTGGCACAAACAAACCTGCTGTGGACACAGCAGCCACAGACTGTGTTTCTTCAGAAGCAATTTCTCAGGACAAGGTTGCAGCGGACTCGGTAGCCACCGACAGTTTTGATGGATCCAGCAGCGTCACACATGAATATTTTGGATGGGAACACCCCAGGTAATGCCACCCTGGGCACTGACGTGGCTGCTCTGGATGAAGCTGACAGTTTCACTGACGGCTGCAACAGATAGGGATACCTCAGACAAGGCTGACACAGAGGAAGCTGGCCAAGAAATACAGAGTGTTTTGGCTTCACCTCAATCACATCACATTTCTCACAATGCTTGATTATAATAGCAAATTTTTACATGTATGTGCAACTGTTTTGTTCCTGTGACCTGCATTACGGCATCATGTATAATTAGCTGTTTGGTTTTTGTAGTTAAATTTTTTTTTTCTTTAATTGTTGTGTTTCTCAGCTGAGGTAGACTGCATATAGATTCCAAAGGTAATCCTTTAAAGTCATGACATAAAGCTTTAGCCTCTAAAAACCTCAGTTGGTGCAATATTTGGCCTAGACTGAGATTCATTATGTCCAGCCACTGTCATTGTAACAGTACTTGGAGCTTCTGTTTTTTTTTGTTGTTTTTTTTTTAAAGCTTCTAATTAAAAAAAAAAACCCTGATAGTTTCTGGGTTGCAAGCGAGAGCAGACGTCTTTATGGCTCCTCTTGTCTGTTCTACAATTTTTGACATCTTCTACATTTTCAAGTCTTTGAACAAATTCTACAACTATTAAAATGCCTCCAAGAGGGAAAAGAGCTAATAAATCATAAAAGAACGAGGATGTTGAAGCAGAAGAGGATTATATTTCAGCGGCGCAAGTAACAGAGATGTTGAGTCAGCAGAAGCAGATGTACACCACACTGTTGAGCCAACAACAAGACAACTTCAAAGGTTTTGTGCAACTACTTATGGAGACAAATAACAAGAGACTCGACGACATGACCAGAGAAATACAGGAGATAAAAACGAGTTTGCAGTTTACCCAGCGAGATGTGGATGTGATTAAAGCAGCCATGGGTGAACAGAAAATACAAACCAAGGAAACAAGGGATGATGTCTACAAAACTTGTGAGAGTCTAATAGCCATAA